GTCTGCCTGGCAACGGCACCGGCGCTGCCAGCGCCGCCACCTCCTGCCTGCCCTGCGTGCCCGACGCGCCCTGCGCGCGGGCGCCCTCGGCGCCCAGGACCCGCCGACGCCGAAGATGCCCTCCCCGACGTCGTCAGGCGCGTGGGGCGTCGGTCGGGCTGCTCTCCTCACCATCGTCGAGTTTCTCGTCGGTTTGTGGCTCGTGAGTGGCGATGGCCAATGGCTGCTGCGGCTGGCGCTGGGTTCCAACCCGGCCAGGGTTTGCCCGACGTCCCAGCCGCTCGCAGGTACAAGATCTCGTTGTGCCGTTGCGGCGTCAGAGGGTCCTGTGCCTGGGGGCGCCGCTGCGGCATCGAGGGCGGCGTCTTGGGGCGGCGCCGTTGTCGACAGCGGTTCTGAGTAGGTTGCTGGAGCCCGCGGCTCTCTTCCCAGACGGGGACCTTTGCTGCGAGGGCTGCTCGGACGACTCTCCAGATGCGCTGGCAATGCATTTCACTTGACAGCGACGCCACCACCCCCGGATCGTGGTTAGTGCCATCGATTTCGTCGGGATGTGGACGTCACGACGGCAAATATCCGAGGTGTGGCTGAGCAGGCTGCTCGTGACAAATAGAACGAGGTGGAGAGCGCTACCGGTCGAGTGCTGGCTGCTGGAGTAGGATGGCTTCATCTCAGCGTTCTCGTGGATGCACCAGCTGCTGTGGCTGGCCCTCAGACTGGGGCAACTGGGCGCACTGCGAGACCTTCGGCGACTGCGGAGGGGTGGATGATGAACCCGTTTCCACCACCACCACCATAAGTTGGAAGGGGGAATGAGGAGGAGGGCGAGGAGGAGGAGGAGTAGGAGGAGGAGGAGGAGGAGAGGACTCCTTTCCCCCTCCAACTTATGGTGGTGGTGGTGGTGGTGGAAAGCATGCCCATCAGCGGGGGGGCAGGCCAGCGCCTTGGGCGGTGGCGACGCGGTGATCGGTGGCGCCGGCCCGCGGCGGGGGCCCCGAAGCACGTGGCCCTGTCTGCCGCGGGCGACGTACGCATCCCGGGCCTCGCCTTCTCCACGCCGCCGGGCCACGGGCGCAGCGTCCTTGGCGTGGCGTGATGGCGCTGCTCTCGGAGACGGCGGTGCCTGCCTCATCTTTCTCTCTAAACATTCTGCGTGGTTTATTGTATAATTATTCTAAATATCATATATATATATATATATATAAAAAACACATAGAGTTCGGAGGAATGTTGAAGGGGGTGGCCCCTGGCCCGAGGGCGCTCTCTTGGCGCCGCCGCTGCGTCGACTGTGGTCAGGGCGGTCCGACGGGCCTCCGTCGCGCCTCCAAGACCGCTGTGGGGCGCCGGCTCGCAGGCCTGCGCGAGGCGGCCATATGGGGGCGTCGAACTCGCCGGGTGCTTCGTCGGTCTGGGCGCCCCGGACATCGCGGCGATCGAGGACGTGTGTCGGCGGGCCGAGTCGGTGGGCCACGCCCTCGGCCAGCTCGAGCGCGACCTCAGCAGCCGCGGCAGAACAGGCAAGGGGAAAGGGGAAGGGCGAGTCCCAGTTCTTCACGGGCTTCCGCGAGCTGATGGTTTGTCCCGGCATAGGCCCCGATACAACCCGACAGGAGCCCACGACTGCCCCAGAGGGCACCGCGAGTCCCCCAAAGCAGCTCCCGCGGGGCCCCGACACACCCCTATGAAGCCCAGTCAAGCCCCAAACCCCCCATGACGGCCCACAACAGTTCCTTGATGGACGACGAGGACTTCGACCATGATGGCGATGACGATGACGGTGGTGCATGATGATGACGGCGATGAGGATGATGATGATAATGAGGATGATGATTATGATCAGGATGACGATGACGATGTCGATGGTGGTGATGATGATGATGATGATGATGATGATGATGATGATGATGATGATGATGATGATGATGGGGATGCCCGCCAGTCCCCCATCTCACGTTCTCCGGAAACGCCCCCCCAGAGCACGGACATTTTCGATAGCGATGACGATGGCCATGCTGATGCCGTTGGCAAGTATAATGATGAGGATTCTGATGGCGACGGCAATCATGCAGATGATGCGCGTAACGGTAATTACGAAGTGATGATGGCGGTTTTGGTGATGCTGATCATGCGCATGAAGACCACGCATTTTTGAAACACGTGCAAATAAGAATGGTCATGACGATGGCGACAGCGATGGTGATGATGATGATGATGATGATGATGATGATGATGATGATGATGATGATGATGGTGATGGTGATGATGATGATGATGATGATGATGATGCTGATGATGATGATGATGATGATGATGATGATGATGATGATGATGATGATGATGATGATGATGATGATGATGATGACTTGACTTGCGCTGGCTATAGGCGGTGCCTGGAGCTCTTCAGTGACTGCTGCTGTGTCGAGAAAAACCCCAGCAGCACGAGGCGTGGTGCCTCTGCTCAGAAGGGAGAACAACTCACCAGGAGAAAGGGATCCCCTGT